GAGTCGAGTCTCTTACTTAATGTGCTTCCTGTACTCATCAATTGTTGTTGCACCAATACACTACAACCATCAAAACAGAAAAAAGAACATCTCGTAAGAACTTGAGTTTCCATTCTATTAATTAACATTTTGACATCACTAAACCAATACAAAGAATGAGAAAATTACCTGCAATTCACCTCTTGCAAGGGCTGGCTTTAAGATGTTAGCAGCATCGATCGCTCCTTCGGCGGCACCTGCACCGATAAGCGTGTGCACTTCATCAATAAACAGAATTATGTCATCACTTTGCCTGATTTCCTCCATAAGCTTCTTCAATCTTTCCTCGAATTCTCCAAGATATTTCGTTCCAGCCACTAGAAGACCCTATCAAGGGTTATAACCTGACGGAAAAAAATGTAAGGGTAAATACTTTAAAACACATATATGCGCAAATGATCCAATGGGAGAATTTTACCGTCTTTCCCTCAATTGTTTCGGGAACATCACCACTGGCAATTCTCTGTGCGAGTCCTTCAGCTATTGCTGTCTTACCAACTCCAGGTTCTCCAATAAGACAAGGGTTGTTCTTGGTTCTTCGAGCCAAGATCTGGACCACTCGTTCGATCTGTGGTTGCCTTCCAACAACCGGGTCCAGTTTACCCTGCAACAGAAAGTAAAAAACTAAATTTCACCAAAAGCTTTCAATCATGTATTCTTGAGAGTTTTTTCAGGATGAGTAAGCCATTTTTATTACCTCCTCTGCTAGTTTAGTTAGGTTAGTCCCATACTCTTCTAGTGTTGGCATTTTGCTGTTTCCGCTGGATCCTCCATCAACGTTTGCTGTCACTTCATTGTTTTCCCCAACCATACGTATAACCTGAAAAATTATAATCCAAATGTAATTAAGAAATTGTTTCCTAAGACATAACATGATTGTGATTTGTGATAATTCAGAATTAATGCATTTACCTGAGTCCGGATGTTTGTAGGATCTGCACCCAAATTCTCCAGGACACGAGCTGCAACACCTTCCCCTTCACGAAGAAGACCAAGCAGAAGATGCTCTGACCCAATGTAGTTATGGCCTAGAATTCAAAATAACAAAAAGATGCCAAATTGATAAGAAACAAGTAAATTTCATCAGTCACGAAAGCTTATGTAAGAACACAACATATAACAACCTCCAAGCCTAAATACTAATAAACAGAAAGAGATCCTTACCGATTTGTCGAGCTTCCTCTAGTGACAACTCCAAGACTCGCTTTGCACGAGGAGTAAATGGGATCTCCACTGCCACAAATCCACTGCCTCTTCCAATGATCTTTTCCACCTCCACACGAGAATCTTTAAGATTGATCCCCATGGATTTAAGAACCTTTGCAGCGATCCCAGTACCTTCCCCGATTAGACCCAACAGTATTTGCTCAGTCCCAACAAAGTTATGGCCAAGTCTCCGAGCTTCCTCTTGAGACAGCATTATGACCTTAATTGCTTTCTCGGTAAACCGCTCAAACATGGCTTTTGGCACACATCGGCTAGCTTTTGCTCTCCTGGACGAGATTGAAAGTTTTGTCTTAGAAAGGAAATCATGATCAGGCCTTGCCTTAAGATCCAATGCATTAGAAGCCCTTAGCCCTGAGAAGCTCTGAATTCTCAAAACAGGTGCTTGTAAACAGGTGCTTCACCGACGTCCTTAAGGGGCAAAGTAAAGGACCAGCGGTAAAATGAGCCACAGCAGTAGAATGAGCTAAGAGCCTCGCCATAATGCAGAGTTGGAGGCTGCATTGGGTAATGATGAATCATAAGTTCTAGCTCTATATGAGTTAATTCCAAAAAATAAAAGACAATATGGAGATAAAGTTAGGATTTTAATTCAGTGCAAAGATGATAACAAAACGCAGACATCAAAAAAAAAAAAAGGTACAACTTATCGAAAATTTGTGTATAACAAATGCCAAACCTTTCACTAAAACTTAGATCCTCTCTAACCAAATGAAAAACGAGTAAACACACCAAATCCAGGAAGTTTCATGATGTTAAGTGCTAAATGAGACATTTAGTTTCACTAAAAAAAAACAATTCTCTGAACCTGTGGCCTTTTATCGAGAACCTATAACTTTGGATATACTCAGAGACTTCAAGCTAATCCTCTTAAACACATTTACAGAAAGATCTCAGGCACATAAATGCACCATTTCAATTCCACCAAATGAGAGCAGAACAGTATCACTAAGTTCGAGCTTTGTTTCTCATTTCCAAAGCAATCTTAGTAACCAACCGAACAAGCATTTATCTTTGAACAAATCAATACGGCAAATACACAACCCTAATCTCAAAGCAACCATTTTTTTCTCAAATCAACACAACCAAATGAAAAGTACCCAAATCCCTAAAACTCAAGAAACCACCCAAAACACACGAAACCAAAACAACCTGAAAAAAACAAACTCCACCTTCAAAGTTAACACA